TTTGGTTGGAACACGGTGTAATGGTGTAGTTCGGTGGGGAGGGAGAGGGGGAGAGAAATGTTCCCACTTTGTAGTGCATAAGTTGAGCCAGAGAAGCACAGCTTTACGCCACCTTCTGTGTGTGTGTGTTGGCAAGATCAAATTAACCGATGTCGACGGTTCCTTTTAGTCCAGAACCAAAATGTTCCTCATTTTACGACAGCATCGCCTTTGAGTGGAGAGAGAACACTTGGAAGCGACTCGAAGTAATGACAAAGGAAGCCATTGATGATGTCCATCTACCTAGGAGTGTACAATTCACGAAATTCAGCCAAATAGGACTTAAAGAAGCCGATTGAAAAGTGACACTGACAAGTAGGTCCGAGATGAGACCGAAATGGATTAAAGGAAGCCTCAACTGCGTTTATCCTCGTCGACATCTCCGCATTACGACTTTGGCCATCAGTGCTAGGCCAAGTTAGGAAACATCCACACAAAGGAGAGGTAAAAAAAATGGAAATACTAAAGACCGGTGGACCTGATTTCCCTTCCACCTTCTGATTGGCTTGCATTCACGTGGTGGTGCTTTGATTAAGGCCAGTAAGGCCAAGGGCGACTAAAGCATTGTAAGTGCGCAAGAACGCCACAAATCCCACGTCTCCGATCGCCGGCCAAGTCCAGTCAGTCAACAGTCACGTACACACACACACACACATTGTGCCCCAGGCTCTTCACCCACATCGGAAGCGTCCACTTTGACTCCTCAATCAGTCTCACCATCTGCACACACACACACACACACACACACAAAGTTCGCAAGGTCGTAGTGATAATCGTTTTAAGTGAGAGAAGTTACCAATTTGTCTCCTTCAGGGCTAGTGACACACAGTCATCGGATGAAAGATGAAAGCAGGCAGATTTCACCGAAAGAAATGAAAGAAGTCTCACAATTGTCATAGGCGTTATCACCGCCATCAAAACAAAATTCGGAGAGAATAACAGCTGTACACTTCTCAGTGTTAGTATTTGGGTAAAATTAGTTTTCAATCTTTCATACTATCGCCTCCACGCCCGACAGTATGCGTTACATCCATTTTATCGTCCACCTCTCTCTCACACGTCTTCCCTGTCGTTGGTGAAGCGTTACGGGGGAGAAGAAAGACACACACCGCTGACTGCTGAAACGGTGGTAAACGCCACAGACACACTTCCGCCTTCTACTGTAAAGGCAAATTAATCTGTCTGCTCCATTCAACACAAATGTTCAAATGGGTTCTCGCACCACCCTCCAGTGGCCAGTCGGTGTACCACCTGTTTCACTTTGAGGCGTATTTCAAACAGCGTGCGAGACGCTCCACCTCCACCTCGCCTTACTTTATTTGCTTCCGTTTTGTGGAATAGCTCCGCTCCCAGTGCATTCAAGCAATCGTATCGCCTTCACAGCTAGACTGCATCAGCATCGACGAGAGGAGGAGCATTATTTCTTTAAAATTTCCCCAGTTCAGTACCTTTTACAGCTTTAAGAGGCAAAGCCAATGGCTTCACTATGAAACCATTTTTTTTTGAAAAGAGTACCTCAGGAGAGTCAAGACGGTGCCACTTTTTTTCCCCTCCACAAAGTGTTTCAGATGGAATAAGGCCAAATTTATGTCCAGTAACGAAAATTTGCACTCTACACTCTCCATATCGGAGGAGATTCCGCCTTTACACAGCCTCCTTTTGACAGGAGACGCATTAATCAAAAGGGCGAAAATTCGACTTGCATCGTGTACTACCACAGAGAGGTAAAATTTGCTTCTCACGGTTGTGGATTGTTCACTTCATCACCCAAAGCATCCAGGAAGGGGGCCTGACCATGAGGAGGGAGAGCTGCAAGGCACCACGACATGGTTAGCCCGCATTAAGTTCGCTTCTCCTCCTCCTCAACCTAGAAATGCCTGACTGCTGCAGCAAAGCGTCTAAGAGAGTCAAAAACAAACTCATTAGAAGAAGAGCATCGTAAAGCTCCTTCTTCAATAAAATGTCACCTCTCGGTCTAAAAAGCCTACCTAAAAGACCTTTAAAAAAAGGAGAAGTTACGTGACAGGTAGCGCAGACATTATTTACTGCACCTTTAAATTGCGTAGTGAATGTTGCCTTGGCGACAGTGGTCAAAACAATTAATTCAAAAGAGCAAGTGTCCTGATTTTTGGATGAGTGGATGATTGTGCGACTGCATTCACCGTCAACTAGAATCCCCCATCCTGGAGGTGGCTTGAATAGACGTGTGGAAACCAGAGCCCTGAATTTAGATTGCCCCTGGTCGGAAGATCAGCATGCAAATGAGGAAGGTGGAGTAAAAAGGCATGGGATTTGGACTTTCTCCTTCCTCTCCTCCCCTCCCCTCCACCAAACCATCCTCCTTCGTACTGCAAAATCCGAGATGAAATGGCGTCGCGGCAGTGACCTCACTGAGTGTGGTGAACTGTGGAAGGCGTCAACAATCGTGTTTACTTATCGTCTACTCGAACTTTTCAGTCTTTTTTAAGGCTCCACATCATCATCTGGTGTGCTCTTCGCCATTGTTCATTACACAAATGAAACAGCTCTTAACATTTGTTCCACGTCTTTAAAGATACACTCATGTCTGATTTTTCCTTTCAATCACTTTCTTGTCGGTAGTCAGAGGAGCAGCTGGTGGTAGAAAGTCAGCCAGACGTACAAAGAAGTGTTTTGAAATAGGGAACCTCATCAGGAGGGAAGAACTCACAGTCACTACAACACATTCATGCAGTCTTACTGAAGTAGATCAAAAAACAAACAAACAAACAAACAAACAAACAGAGTAAAGAGGATGAAAAATCATCCACCAGAAGGGTGTCGACCCCCGTCAAGTGACTGCCAAATACTAACCTTTTTTACAGACTGAAAGAGGTAAGTCGTGTGCAACTTTATGGGCATTCCCCACGGTCAGGGGGTAAACGGTCCCACACAGGGAGCTGTACAACTGCCTCGCCTTGCACCAAAAATTGTCAGTGCTAAAATCCCATTGGTGGAGCAGTCAGCAAACGCCTGGGTCACGTTCGAAGTCCACGGATAGCAATGCCATACACAAACTCACCTGTTCATTTGCCAACACACGAAAAGAGTCGATCAGTTGTTCTGCACTCTCCGAACCAGAGGCCTGTTGAGTCATGAAACGCATGAAAGAATCGAAGGTGACATAACCCGAGCCTGAGGGATCGACATTGGCGAGGATTCGACGGAAATCGGTGTCACCCTAGGCAAAAGCAAAATACATTATTATTATTTTTTTGCCCCAGCATTGCCAGAGAATGAGAGAACTGGAAGAATTAACCTTAAGGATATTCAAAAGACCCAAAAAGTGACCACAAAAAGATTCCTGATTAACTTGGCTTTGACAGGAGGCGTTTTTATTTTAAGGTCAAGGCCTTATAAACACCGATCACAAATTTGGATTTTCCTTCACCACACGGCAATTGGTATGATTTGGCTGCAAAATTGTCAAAGGTTTGTGTGTGTGTGTGTGACCTTGAGGGGGGATCTGAACAGACCCACCTTTCTAGGCAGGAGGTGGCTAGAGGCAGATGAACGAGGTGATTGGGAATGTAAAGCGATTAAACAGTTTGGTGCTAATATGAAGGTGGTATTTGGTGGGTGCTGAAGGCGTCCTTAGACGTGTCTAGGAAAATGCGCTCCACAGGAAAAATCTATTCGCTGTTCTTTTTCTTTCTTTTTTTCACTAGACAGTAGTAGGCATCGTGATGTGTTGGCTCCGGGACAGGAGGGGAGGGGAGGGGGAGAAGCGGAGCACCACTTGTAGCATCATCATCATCATCGACACAATCATTATCTTAATGACCACCCTTGAATTAAGCGAATGATGATGACTCCCAGGGAAAAGCATCCTTTCAAATGGCTGATTAACAACTCCTGAATTTTTTTCATACTTCGCTTAAGCCAAGAGTGTAGTGGGCCAATTCCTACACCAATTGTTGCCTCAGCTTTGGGAAGTGGGAAAACCTTAACGAACAACCCCGTCTACACACACACACACCCCACAGACCCATAAAGATGATGTGTACTGGTCTGGGAATGTCGTCGTTCGTCAGAGAGGTGTGCGATAGTGAAGGAGCGATTTGCCGGTGGCTAATGATACTCCCATTGGGTAGGCAAACGCTGAAGAGTGCAAAGGTCACTTCCTCATCACCTTTGTTGCCAGACAAGAGGGGAATTGACAGCCCTTCATCACCTGGATGAACCCAATTTGGGGAGATGTATAGACAACCGTTCTAGACTGTGCTTTTCTCCAGCGTCAAATTTGCATCCACTGGAGTAGAGTGACTTTGAAATTCATAAGGCAGAAAACTGTTTCACTTCCTTGCATCGTCTGTTACCGCATCAACTTTGACAATCAACAGACTGCGTTACGAGGTGGACGCAATGCTGCAGACAATGAGTCTTTGTCTTGAGAGGCGAGAGAACTGCGCCTCCCCACTTTGCATCAATAACAAATTCCCAAATCGGAAGTCCTTTTCTTTTCCCCTTCCGCCAATCTGGAAGTGTCTACGTGATGTGAAAGCATGCAAAGAAGACCTTGATAAATTGTCTTCCGTGGGATATGCTACAGTGATGTGGAATTCAAGTTGAAGGCACAGATGTTTAGGCAAGATGCTTCGCATCCACTGCTATTTTAACGCTACCTAAAGTGGGAAGAGAGAGAGAGAGGGAGAGAGAGGAACGTCACTGTGTGAAGGCCATCTTGTGATGTGCATGTTGGGCATCCGAATGGACTGTAAATACGTGATGTCAAGGGGACACATTCTTATCCTCGAATACACTCTTGCTTAACCCACTGAGCGTAGGAGCAAGCAGCTCCTCTTACATTTAAACTCCCGACAACTACTGCTGTAACAGTAGCTGTAGCAAGTAGGAGAAAAAAATAATTCCGCATTTGACCCTTTTGCCAGTCCAGTGTCAGATTGGATCATTTGGTTTCGAGCCGAAGATGCAAGAAGCTACTCGAATGGGAGGGCAATGCGCATCTCTGGCGGCCAGGCGGTCGTACGGACGGTAGAAGAGCATTTTTTTTTTCTAAAAATCAAGCTCCACTAATGATAGTAGCCTTGGAAATGAGGTGGAGGCGATTTCACATCGCCTTGGCACTATTTGACATGACAAGTGAACAAGCCATGCCTCCAGACCTTCACAACTCTTTCAGTAGCATAGTCGAGTGTCTTGAGGGAAGGTGCATTAGGCCGAAAAATGGGAGACAAGGGCTCACAATTAGGAATTTGTGACAAATTGGCCCTACAAGGTGATAGCAACCCATAAAAAGCAATTCCTTAGGTAGCACAGAAGTGCACCTGACATGAAATGCCGTCTTAAAAAGATGCCATTTTACAAAACCAATTTCTTACAAGTTAGGCAGTAAAACGGGAGGAACGTGACTATCGTCGCTGAATTTGTGAGTGGGTGGATTTTAAAAAGTTCACCTCCTTTTGTGAGGTACTGTAAACCAGAGGTGTCCAGGGTGGATTGTAGGAACAAAACTAAACCCGAGGTGGACTTTTTAGCCTCCATCACCGTGCAGCCCAACCTGGTGGTATAAACAAAAGGTGGAAAGTGTGGTCCCCCAAAAGTCAGCCTGAGGCAGCTACATTTGTCATTTCCGTGGACTCCTCCCGAAACGAGGAGTGGACAAATCGCTCAGACCAGCAGTGACAGTTTTATCAAACCCACGGGTTAAAATGCTGAGTAGACTGGTGATCGCACAAAATGACAGCTTCACGACACGCATGAAAAGTAATTGTTTGCACAAATGGCAAGAAATATGCAAAAGCAAGTAGATAAGTGTGCATTTCTGGGAGGCAGTAAATCACTCACCTCTGGGGTGTTGGGGATGTGAAATCCAAGTGACACCAGACAGGCCTTAAACTCCGAAAGATCCAGTCGTCTGAGACGTTTGCGATCAAAGTGATTGAAGCAGCGTCGAAAGTCATTCAACTGGGCCTCACTGAGGTTGTGCGCCTCACGAGTCATGATTTGCACCTCCACCTCGTTGATTGCACGTTTGAGATTGGTGAGAAATTGTTCCCAACCCAGACGAAGTGTGTCCATGGTGTATTGAGTTTGAGGCACTGTGTAGACACCATTCTCTTGTAGTTGCTTTAAAAGAGAATAAAAATTTACTTCATTGAACAGGTTCAACACCACCCAAACCGGTTGAGACTGGGAGAGAAAAATATTTGTCGACTGAAAATGCATACTTTCCAAAGCGTGGATTCCGAATTCAAAAAAAAAATATTTGTCAAATGATGAGTGGATAGATTGGGGGAACAAATTTTCTTTACAACCATCATTTAATCCATCTAAGCTCAAGTACTGGCGCGTTTCGGAGGGAATGGACGCGCGAGTCGGCCTGTAAACCTCCATCGCATTGAAGACTAAGGAAGATGTGGATACGTGAATGAATGGAGGCTCGCTATAGGAGACGGATGGTCAAAATGACACCACAAATGCGTTCACCTCGTCAATGGTTGAATTTCAACCCGCAATCCCATTCGTCTTCTGAAGGCAGCACAAAACGTCTCCTTGAAAAAGAGGAGATGGGAAAAGGAGAGAATTGTTAGTGTCAAAGGTAAAAGGCAAGAGGCGGTAGGGGAAGAGGAGGAGGAGAGTACTGACAGTTGTCAATCCATGCCTTTCCATCCCTCCAACCACAAGTTAAACTTATTTTAGGATACTACTAACAAGATGTGACACGTCTCCTTTCGAAGCCCCTATTTGTAGGGCACTTAAAATGAAGTCGTCGGTTCTGCGTGCACAACGGTGAGTGGCTTAGAAAGTTGAACGGTGTGGGAGGGGAAGATGCACTCAACTGTCTGCTATTTCGATCCATCCATCCATCCACAGAGAATGCAACAATGATTTAGATTAGGTGCATCCATTCAATACAACCTCCTAATTGGCAGGCACGATTGATGCTGTATACTTGGGAGATACGAAAAGAAAAAAAATAAGGATAAGGAGAAGCGTAGCCTACATGATGACCCATTGACCTAAAATGCAAGCATAGGTCACAAAACCCGAACACTTGTAGGTGCATCAGTGCAGCATTCTCGATCGTCTCCTGCCCAGTTGTTTGCCTCTTCTATCAAATGCGTCCATCTGCAATGCGCGTGTCAAATGAGGCACGTGGCATGAGAGGGGAGAAGGGGGTTGTTGATGAGGATCCCACAGCCACACACCTTCAAGAAAGGCTTTCAATATACTCGTATAGGAGGTGGCAAAATATTTGATCAATGGGCTGAATATTGTAAGTGGGAAGGGAAAGCCTCACCCCCTTCCGTCAAGAAGGAGGTGAAGGTGCCGCCAATAGCCTCCTTCTAAAGTATCCTCCCTAAACTGGGGTGTTGTGGAGGTCTTCCAGACCGAGTTAATTGGTTTAAGAGAAGTAAAATTAGCAGCATTTTTAGTGATCATTTGTGCCTGTACTATGGAGAAATTTAGGTAGCATTTAGAAGGTGACGCCAGCGACTATTTATGGTTCTGTTTTTTTCTTTTTTACAAAACTACTCTATTTAAAGCTTAAGTGAGACAACAGTAACGAGGATTTGAATCACTTGTCACTCAGGGACGAGAGATCAGAGAAATGAGGGCATTGCGTCGTCAAGACTAGTAAGTGGTGCCGGAGTGGTTCAGCCTAGTTGCTTCATTCACCACTATTTCACGTCCCATTCCCTGTCCTCCTCCTCCCCTCCCCTCCCCTCTCCACAAAAAGCATCAATCTCAGTGAGACCAGGGCAAATTTGGTTAACTGTGGGTCCAACTAAGGGACCACTTCGTTTGGCACAAAATAGGGAGACTGCCGTACCTCACCAGATTGACCCGACGGTTAAAGATGGACTGAAGTCAAGATCCTGTGAAGGAGGCGAGCACTGAGGTGGCAGTTAATCGAGGAAGTTAACAGCAAAGGCGCACTAGAAAGTTTAGATGCAACTTTGGATTGTGCGCTTTTAGAGAAAGAAAAAAAAACACCTTCCTTTTAAGGTTCTCCTTAAAAGTGTTTTCACAAATGCGTCCCAATGGTGACAGTCAGTCGTTCCTTTTTCAACGGACTACAAATTCTACTTCTATCAGGTAAGTTGTTTTTTTTTTTTGCAATAAAATAAAACGTTGTCCTCGTTACCCTCGAGTCTGCTGCACAACCATTTTCTGAACCGATTGTCTAGTGTCGGTGCCAAAACAAGGAGGGCAACATAACTGAGGCCGAAGGGACATCAAAACAACCCGAAGGATGTGAAGAGGCATGCAGCGAAGTGATTACCACCTCCTTCACCTTGAAATATTCCACCTAGTCTCAGTGTGAGGTGCATGAAATATGAGATCTTGCGCTGCCATTGTAAAAGTAGTAACAGAAGCATTGTTCTATCAACTGTCATTCCCATCTTTCCTGTATGTTGGCGATACCAGCGAAGTGAATGTTTCCCATTTTTAGCAACAAAAAAGCAAAATAGGTCTGTAAGGTACACCCAGTGTTCCCGGAATAAGGCGGTTCGTGAAAAACGAGGTAGCAAATGCATCGTTCATTCTGCCCAGAGCGAAGCAGTTGGACGTATGGTGGCATCAAAGCCCAGAGTCAAACGTGTATCAACCTATCAGTAGCAATGCATGGCACAAAAATGCTTAAATCCGATCCCTCTGAACGGTAAGCTGTTCCTCCTTCAGTCCTATTCAGCAAATCAACTCGCTAAACCTGTGCAGACCAGGAGAACTGTGCTGACTGCATTCCACAGCCCATACCGATGATAGTAACCAAATGCATATCAACTTTTCTTAGCCACCGATTTTCAGTTCTACAGACTCTCAGTAAAGTTGTTATTTGCAGCAAAACGTCTTCTACTTGCCCCCTTTAAGACATCCCACGCCTTGACTACCAACTCCGACATCATGCACATACCCAGGTGAGTCATCGAGGCAGCACCTGGAGAAACCGAAAAACACACCTGGTAGCAGCGTTCTGCTTCCATAATGATGGGCTTCATCTTCTCCAACTCCTCTTCCATCCTCTTAAATCCACCCATTTGTTGTTCCAACTGAACGGCTACAGGACTGCTCTGGGCTGCAAACAATGTGTCCAACGCACGCTCCAGCCAAGGTCCCAATCGGTTAGCCTGCATGGCGAATTGGGCACGCAGTTGTTCATTGCGTTGCTGCTTGGCCATCTCGGATTCTAGCGCGGAGTCACGCTCAGGCACCAACTTTTGAACGCAGCCCCAGCGGTCGTGAAGCGTCTAGGCCATAGGAATGGGTTTGCATAAGGTTTTTGATCAACACAGCAAAGGTGACGCGGCCACTTGACCCTAAGAACTACATATGACAGTGCTAATCACTCGTGGGACCTGAAAGAATCATGATGGATGATGCCTGATATCCCTTTAAGGGGGTACCATGTTACTACCTTTCCTGTGGAAGTCGCATGACTGTGCATGGAAGACAGGCGACTATTTGCATGTCTCAACATCGAGGCGTATTAAAGAGCGCACAACAATCGGAAGTGAGGTGCCCCAAAGAGACATGCAAGACGCAGTCCTCATCTTAAATGTCAATTCAAAGTCGAATTTTAAGTCACGGTTTCGAGCAAAACACTAGCCGTGAATAAATTCTACTTACTCTACTTCCAGACTATCCCATTCCTCAGTGTCAAATGTACTGTCGCAAAACCTCACCTCGTGGGTAATCATGGTGTAGGGATTGACGGCCACCTCACGCGGTAGGTCGTGTTGTTGAACCAACCGGTCAACTTCTCCAGCCTCGCGAAGCATTGAAGTCAACTCTTCTTGGGCTGCAGGCAGTGCGCGTTTGAAGGCCTCATGACCGTTTATCAGTTGCTAAAAGGATAGGAAGGAAATCAGTGTTTTGTAACGATCATCGGGGCGTCTTCTGTACACCTGGAACTGAATGCTTCATCGATAGAAGCTTATTGGGTAATGAAGTTAATTTTGAGGATCCAAACCATCCACCTAGGACCTACTTCCTTCACGATTAGTCCATTGATACTGTGTTTTGGCAAGGAAGTGAGACTCACCGAAACCTCGTCGACTCGATCTGCAATAAATGTGTCCTGCAAATCCTCCTCCGCCTGTTCCAACCAATTGGAGAAGGGCTAAAGAGAGGTAAGGCTTTCACAGCAGCAGAACTTACACCAACTCGTCTGGCAAAGGATTGTTGCAGATTGTCAATCTTCTTCAACACCTCCAAGCGTTTCTATAAACACATCAATAAGACATAGACATGACAACACTTACATCAATTTCTTCTTTCCTTCTAGCAGATATCTCTCCCAATCTGTCCCACTGAGAGACAATATCTTGTGTCCTCTTATTCACACTCGCCACGTCCTCGTATTGAAGGGCGCTAAAGGCAGAAGGTGAGACTATGTGCAACACGTCCTACTTCAACTCCTCCGCAATTGACACTATCTTCTCAACTCGACTTTGATGAGCGCCCAAATCCGTCTCAAATGCATTTTGCTTTTGAGCCATAGCTGTAAGCTCAGGGTAGGAGGCAGTCTCGTAGTCTCGTGCACTCAATGCTGCCTCCTTGTCTTTTGACCAGGCCTCATGAGTGGAGCACTTCAATTTGAACTTTTTAACTAAATAGTCAAGTTGTTCCAAACGGCGAATCTCATTGAGGAGCCAGTCCTGAAAGGCGAATCCACATAGTTTTTTTTTAAAACTAAAGCCGTCTCATCATAAACACACGGAGAAGGGGATTGAGGTGAATTGGCATTAGGGAGGATCTAGCACAGACGGACCGAGAAAATCGAAACAAGTGGGATGGAGTGATTGTTGAATGCCCTCAAGGAAGATGGTATTACGTATATGAGAAAAAAAACAAGGAAAAAGGATGCAACGATGTAGGTGGGACCGCACTCCTTCACTGATATCCCCCACCACAAGCATCTTCACTTTAGGCGTTAGGATTTGTGTACAATATGATGAAATCGAGAGAAAATGAATGAGGCAAATAACATGGAGTGAAACCGGATATAAAGTTGGCGGCTGCATGAGTTGAGGAATTCTGAACGAAAGCAAATGCGAAGCAAGACCGAGTGCGTGTACAAGTAAACGAGCCTTCTGAAAGGTGGGCAGGCGAGTGAACAGAGCAGAGGAATGGGCACTGTGAATGGGATTGAATCCAGGGTTGGCGGCGGTGAGAGTAAGAAACGCCTACCCAGTTGGGTAGAGCAGTGATGGATGCAGTGAGGGAGATAGGTAAAGGCACAAATTTAAGGTGGATGAAGGAAGGAGCATAGAAAAGTGTGTTTAGTGAATGAGTGTTTTGGAAATGAACAGGAGCCTGGTCTTTACAAGTGCTTGTCAGGAGGAGATTCGCAAGGGAGCACCACCAATATGCTATACTTTTGACAAAGAATTTGACACGACATTTACCATTCACCTGCACTCTTCAAATTCAACAACCAACTAAGAGATCTCTGTATTTTTTTCTCTAAACACAACAAGATATAAAAGTACTTTTGGGGAGAATAGTGTATGTGCGTTTATTGTTAAAAACACGGGAAAAGTAGCAAAATTTGCCGCTATAACACATTAGTTGCCGTAGAAGTGGGCGTTAGAGCATCAACTATTGTTTAAAGGCTCACACAACGCCTGTCGGAGATGGCCAGTTGTGTGGAGGACCCTTCACCTACCACTCAACCCATGCTCTTCTCCATGGGGCTAACCTCATCGCATGCCACAGACCTGTTTCCCTTGAAGCACTCCTTAGTGGGACGGCAGCTCAAAAATGAGGGACTCAATGACTCCAAAGGAAACAGTTGGGTGGAAGCGATGCGGTCAGCGAAACCGGCTTGTAAGCTGTGTCCGCCTGTTTGTTCGTAAAGAGACAAATCTGCGGTATGTGGAGTAAGTGTCAGAGTGTTGAATGTCTGTTTTGCGGAACAATGTCAGTAAAAGGTGGCTGTCAAGCCTCCCCAGAGGATTCAGGCTTGCATGAAACAGGGAAGTATCCTAATGAAGCAAAAAATTGAGAAGCTTCTAGTCCATTCTTTAAAACTTATTCCATTTCGACTTACCTCAAAACCTTTCTCCAAATCCTCCATCTGTTTCCAGGCATTGTTAATCTCACCAATAGACTGTCCTGCTGGTGGCATGAAGGCAGGTTTGTGAGCAAGTTTCAAACGCGTTTGAATTGTATTGTTTAAGGCTTCCAGCAACGCCTTATCCTCCACACGTGGTGGTTTCGCTGAACCTCCGTAGGCCGTATATTGAGCAAGCTTTTCTTTTGCATGAGGCAAAGTACCATCCGTTGTCTTATCCTATAAGAGTTGACATTTTGTTGTGGAGCTCAACGACTCAGCTAGCACAAGAAATTGCATCAATGACAATGGAAAGCGAATTCACACCATTTGGTGTCTAAAGGCTGGGGACAGATGTTGAAAAAATTGGCAATTTACAGAAATCGAAGGACCTAAAAGGGACTGGTTATTTCGTAGTGACGAGAAAAGTGATGTCTGGTGATTTGAAAACGCTCATTAGTGGTATGAGGCCTTCTTTGTATCCACGGAAATGGGAGGTCGGCTAGACAACCGCACATTAGTGATGTGAATGGATGAATAAAGGACATATACTGGATGTCTTCGCCTTTAAGTTTCCTCCAAGCATTTCAATTCGCATCCCCACCCTTGAGTATCACAAACTAAGGAGTGAATGTAAACCTTCAACAGCTCTTTGATCACCGTTATGGCCGCTGACAAGTGCCCCAAGAGAATAATATTTAAGTGAACTTAACAGTCCCATTTTACTCCTTCTTTGCATCACAGAGTTTTTCAACTTTGTTACAAAAAGATCAACGCACCGCTAAGAATGGGATTTGATTGTTGATCCACTTAAGGAGATCTGAAGCCACACCGGCATATTCCTCCATCAATTTTTCTGTATCCTGATTAGACTTTAAAACTTTTGCTATTTTGTTCGCAGCTGATTCAGTCTAAAATGTGAAAAGACGAGCATGAATTTCAAGTTTCTACCAAGCACACTTAAAAAATCGAGACATACGTTGTGAGCGTTCGCAAATGCATGATAATAGGCGGCAACATAGGTCATAACAGATCGTTCATCCGGTCGAATTGTATTAACCATATCTATCACCGAAAAGGAAAGTCTTAATTCGGCTAAGAAGCTAAACAGCATAGTCGAAATGCCACATTCACAACAAAAGGAACGACAAACACCACTCACCCCTACACTCGTAAAGAGTTGAAAAAGCTACCTGAGTAAATCTTTCTATTTATATAAGGCTCGAGAAAAATCTGGTTGGTTTTAACATTAGTATATAAGGTGATTTGCGATGAGCACAACAAAAGGGCAAACCTTCAGCATCCAACATCTTGGGAATGTCCAGATATTTCTCCGCCACATCAAAGGCATAATTAAGATTTTGAATAGGATTTTCCTGCAAAAAGTAAACGCTATCTTTTCAAAGCCAAAAATTTTACTAATGAAAAGTGGTTTAATATAGAACTACTAGCCTTTGAGAGTTTGGCATAGTCAATAAGCTCCGGACGATGTCGATGTATGAGCGCACAAAAAGCAAGCCCGTCCTTCCAACTGAGATGTAAAGAGAACTGGTTTAACACATGGTAAGTTCAAGTAATGCTGTTAAATAGATAAGAAGGCTACTCACCTTGTATGAAAGTTTTGAACGTTTACATTACTGTACGGTGCTGTTTTCCGCTGGCACCAAAGTAGTAGTCCTTCTTTAGCATGAAGTTCTTTTCAAAGCAAGACAAGGAGTTATTCCAAAAGAAGAATGCAAAAGGAAAAACAAATCAAGAGAATAGAGGTGAATCTTACCCTCTACTGTAATATCTTGAATGCAGAATCGCAAGATGATAGTCCAGATCATTCCAAGTGTCATTTTAATATTGCCGTCAACAATTTCTACAAGGAATGGTAGAAAATGCACAACGTACGCTCAGCACCAATGGAAACAAGCTGAACACCCTTGCTCTCAATATACTTTAGGGCTTTATTAACATTTGTGATCATATGAAAACGCATTTTTCCTCGATCCGGTTTGGGCAACGGCTCTTCAGCAAGAGTCTCCAAGAGTTGCAACAATTTCAATCCATCGCGGAAATCATTCTCTATATCAGTAATACTAGCGTTTGCTTTGCGCAAGTATGAGTTGCACCATGCGGTAAATGTCTTGTCTCGATCACTCTGGTTAGTTAGGTTGCATACCTTCTTTTGTTGGATTTCCCACATCGGATCCAAGTAACTTTCCCGATCCCATTCTTCCTCCTCTTCAGGCTCAATACGAGTGTCATAGTATGCATCGTTTGGATAGTAAGAAGCGGTATTATTGTAATAGTATTCCATGTTGTCACTCATGTACGATAAACGAAAACGCCGTTACAGTTCAGCTGTGACGCTTTCCTTCAAGGTCGATTAGGAGGTGTGGTCAAATATCTTTTCACTATTGCATTAATAAGGATGTCCCAATAAAAAGCTATTTTAGGAATTTTATATAATTGCACGAAAGTGTGGGTTTACGCATAATTGTGGCAATAAATTCATACAGTTTTACTGCATAAGTGGCACCAATTCATTATTTTTCCACATTTTCACACGAAAGAACAAGGTCTTAATCAAGTGAAAAAGTAAAGCGGTTCATAATAAAGGATTTTAAAGCAAAAATATTTATTCCAAAAAGTTGATTTGTTAATTAATCAAACAGAGATTTCGTAATTTTAATAAATCGAGTCCTGTATTGGGTCGACTGCATGCCTTATGGGAATATTATGACATTCATTGTCTCTAGAGTGGTTTTAAGATCCTTTTATTAAGCAAAACCAATCATGAAAAATAGGTATCCTGATTTCTGCTGTTTAGTGATAACAACGGCACAAGGAAAGAAGTTATTGTCCTGCAGATGTAAAAAGGCACATGGTGACCTTTATCAAACGAAATAAAAACGTATTCATCTTTGACAACTTCCCTGTTCCTGTGCTCTACAGGCCAGTTAACAAAGTCCGGAATAATATTTACCAACATGCAGTCTCCTATAGCTCGTTTAAAGCTATATAAATATATAAAAAATATAAGTAAAATATAGTCACATTTTTATGCTGTCTGCATGTTGTACAAAGGGAACCCAAAATAAATTAATTGTTTTACGGCACCGATTTATGATTTAATTGGATAAAAGTATTGGACGTGAAACTTCTTGCCCACGACAATGCCTCCATGGCTTGAAATTGAAATGAGTGCCAAACCAAACGTTATTCCTTCTCAAAGCCATTACCAACCAGATTTACGCACAGGCACTGCAGATGGCATCAATTGGAGCTAGTGTGGACATTGTTAAATAAATTTTGCTTTAACATTTAAAACGGTTCCCGAAAAAGCACGATATGAATTGTTTGCCACTTTCAGACCCGACCGTCAGTAGCGATTATTCGTTAGTAATTGGACTACCGCCAGATTTACCTGTTTCCGAAAGTTCCTATAAAACTACGAAGGGAAATTATTACAACAACACAAGTAGACTGGGAAAATTCAAAAGTGGATTGCCGAGTAATTTGGTTCCAGAGAAGCTTATAAGAACAGAAAATCAGACAAGCAAGATGTCGCAAGTTATTTTAGCACCCACTTCACAATAAAGAGCGATTTCCGCTACCGCTTTGGGCTACTTTTCTTGCTTGCCCCTTTAATTCCTCTCAAGTGTGCCCCTGTGGGTTAACCAAACTCCCATCTACGCTAATGTGCAGTGGGATAAGGTCAGATGGACCAGTACAGATAGATGCCATTTGGACTCTCCTGCTTTACAAGCAGTTAATGCGCCTCTTTCGTAATGGCTGTTGGTTAGTTAGGCAATTAAGACCTCCGCAATTCATCATGGACGCCCGCAGCAGATGGCATGACGTTGGGCTCGGCTACACCGACGGCGTGGGGGTTGGCCAAAGCCCGTCTAGACGGCCATTGTTATGCGTTCCATTCATGTTCATCGGCAATAACTGGCAAATAGTGAGTTTTGATGAGGATGAGAGGGAAGAGGTGGTGTTTGAATCTATATTGGCATCATTTCACCCTCACAAGTACAACAGGATTCTTTGCAACTTATACACTTAAAAATGGCTATGTTTTGCGTCTTGAAGGAAAAAAACGGTGGTAGGCAAGGGAAAATGATGCATAATTAAGATTTTTTTTTAGTTATGGAGGTTTTGGTAGGTCTAAGTTCTCAAACTCAGGTAATGGCTGCCACTAATCTCTTTGATGATGAGGAATAAAAAGGCGATCGGAAGGCAGGAAAGTGTCTTCAGGCAATTTACATCCAATCCTGAAGTTGCTGGCGCTGTTTCTGATGCACCTTATCTTCTGACTGATCTTAGAGCTATCAAATCCAGGAAGTTGACAAGCTTGGACGCTTTCCACCTCCCTTCCCCCCCGGTCACGTTCACAACCCTGGTAGTAATCGTCCCAGGGCATAAATGAAGAGGACTTTGGACATTCCACCATGCGTTTTAAAATTATTTGGGAAAAAAAGCACCTTTACGCTATCCCGGGAGATATTTGTAGATTTTTAGCCAAAAAACCCAATATCAGATAGTTTAACTTCCAAACCTTCATATGCTGTTACGAAATGATAAAAAGAAGACTTCCATTCAAAGTATCCTGTAAGTGACTTGTAAAAGGTAATTAACAGGTTAATTCATTTGAAGAAAGAAATAAAAAGGGTAAGTCCATTCTCTACTCGCTTACTCCATTCCCACCTCCTCACTTGCCTTCTTCATTTCCCTTCCCCACTTTCTCAAGCTACTGACGCGGAAACGGTTCCCCTAATGACTGAGAAAGTTGATGTCACAAATGAATTTGCTTTGGCTAAGCACCAATCCATTACCCAAATCGAGTTTATTTACCATATATTTTGTTACCTCCATGTGGTCCTCCAAATCAAACAAGAAGTGGGTAGCCGCCTGATTGGTTAATCCAGGAAAGTGACCTTGAGACGAACTGTGATAATGATAAAACCAATGGCATATCATAAGTCGTGCAGACCGGGGTAAGTTCGGTCCTACCCGCAAACCTCTCATCACTACCTTCCAGGTTGGTTTGCTGTTTCATGACACCGACCGATTATGAACTACTAAGTCCACTGTGGGGGGGACCACTTGGCATGCATAAACTTTTCATGGTTTTTTTTCAAAATTTGAGCATTCTGCACTTATGGCAAAACCAATGGAAGGGATAAGTTTTCTGCAAGTCAGTCAACGATCTTCGACGACCTACTTGGCGCAACTACAGCACCGAGCTTTGAAAAAGGGATTGGATAGTGCAAATTATATTAACTCATTTAAACAAAGCTTAGAAAGTTTTTTAGGGATCGCTCATTTCTTTACTTGAATTCTTCTCGCTTCATTGATCCTTTTTCTTTGTAGAAAACTTTGTCTTACCCTTTGTTGACACTAGGTAGTGCCGCAAGCAAAAAGTGAAAAATTGTTTCGACCTGAAGACGCATTTTAAAATAAGCATATATATGTACATTCGCTATAAATGTTCTCTCAAATTATTAAAATTACAAACCATGCGATTAACTAATTCACATCCCCTTTTTATACAATTCGAGCAAACCGGCCAAAACTGCTCATTTGTTTCAGGACGGAATCCTTTGTTCTTGATTTGCCGCAATACCTACAAGTAGTATGTGTAGGGTTTGGTGACAAGCAGTCGAGTTAGTGTTTTTCATTGCTTGGATTACAATCGCCCGCAAATTATGCCTTTTTTATGGCAATGACTTTTGGGTGTACACTTGGGAGGCATTCCGTTGACATGGTGAATTTTTGCCCATTTTGTTATTTCATGCTGTCTATTGTGCTTCTCAAACAGTGTTTACAAAGCATTATTTTGCGTTCCCAGTTTTAATAGTGGGACAAGAACTTCGTTGAGCTACACGATCGGGGCGACTCTCTGTTCCTCGAGGTAGACAACTAGGTGTACCAATTGTGCGTAAAATTTGGGCAACTTTTGAGAACCAAATTGTGGAAGTTGCGGAACACACGTCATGCGGGTGACAGGTGTCAACAGTTGGCGGCAGACATGACGGATTGTTATCGCGTTCTAGCCTTAATTTGTAACGATTGGCAGTTTTGATGGTCTTCACGCCCTCGTAGCCTTCATTATCCTACACCTCCTTCTCACGCCAAATCCACGCCTCGAATGCAAAACTGCAGACCTCACGCACACAGCTTAGTTTTGTTTATTTCTTCCCCTCCAGAATATGCTACTTCACCTTCTTTTGAGTGTTTTGGCCACCGCACCAGCACTGGCAAGCTACTGCCTTGAGGGTGCTACTGGTGACAATTGTGACGATTTGGATGCAATCATCAATAAACTCTTCACCAACTACTCACGCTACGAACGTCCAAAGCCACACCATTGTGACGCCGACAACACCACAAGCGACACGGTTTTTGTAGAGATAAATTTTTACATCAAATCTCTCAGTGCTGTGAATATTGTTGACATGGATTTTAGGTTGGACACCCTCCTCCGTCAACGGTGGTATGATCCACGTCTGGATGTTGGCACTCTTTACAACTACAGTGATGTGCCAATCCACCTTCACATGCTTGACATTTGGTTGCCCGATTTATTTTTTCGCAACTCCAAGTCCTCCACCCTACACGCCATCACCACGCCCAACACACTGGCGTGGATCAACTCCAACGGTATGATAACTTACAGTCAAAAGTTGACAATTGAGTTGTCCTGTCCCATGCAGTTGTGGGACTTTCCAATGGACACACAACACTGCTCCGCCAACATTGGCTCTTATGGCTACTCGACACGAGATTTGGAATTTCGGTGGTGGAATGAAGGCGGCTACGACTGCAGTGGACAGAAACGCAGTGGCTCGGTGTTGAATGCCGCGGTTCAATTGGAGGACAACCAAATAAATGAATATACTGTGGTTAAACACACTTGCACTTACTGTGATCGTGCCTACAAAACTACTGGTAAATTCTCTTGTTTGAATGTGGAATTTGAATTGAGTCGTAAATTTGGCTTCTACCTCATCTACGCCTATCTGCCGTCGTTGTTGGTGGTGC